CATACTGCAATCAATACCACTAAGATTTATCTCCTTCTAAACTCCCTAGAGATTTTTTTTTTTTTTTTTTTTTTTTTTTTTTCTTTTAGAGGATTTTCAAAGTATATGAAGAGGATTTGTGATAGAAAATCACCAGAGCAAAAGTTCATTTTTTCAGCCAAAAAGCATTGTTTATAATTTTAGAAATCCATTTCAATGATTGGCCAATCTTATCACTTTACTATTTTCTCATTTACCACCTTCTTCTCTCAAATTCACCAAAAAATACCCAAGAAAATCTAATTCTCCAAAGTACTTAAAATACTCATCTCTTCATGAGAGTTTATTATATGGCTAGTTCTTTTTCCATGATGAAAATTTTCTCTACTGTCTGCATCAATATAAATGTGGAGATGTTTTAATTTACATACTTGGCATTGGAAGCTATGTCACTGAAAACAAGATAGGCTAAGAGTTGACATGGAATATAAATAAGTTGCTTTAGGTGGTAGAGAGGTTCTAAGCATTATATAAAATTGATGTAGTCTATAGTCTTGAGTATGTCATAGAGACAATCTTTAGAATGGAGAAGGTTGGATTCGAACTCACATGGTCATGCCAACAAAAGTCTAGATAGGATTGAGAAACTTCTCATCTTTGGAGAAGTGAGCTACTTGACTGCAAAGTAGTGCCGTGCCTAATTACTAAGATTTATCATGAACGAGGAACTTTTCAAGCTCCAAATAGGAAGCATCTTGCTAGGACATGTGAGGACAAATGCATGGAAAAAAAGTTAGAAAGGTTTTGTAGCTCTTCAATTATTTTAATTTTAGTATTTCTTCATTTATTTTTAGAAAAGCTCATATCAATGGAATAGATCTTTGTGATCTCTCACAAACAAAAATATGTTAAGAAATATATTTTAAATAACATCCTTTACTTATGTGTTCTGATAAAATACAAACTTTTAACCTTTGCATACTACATCATATTTTGAAAGTAAGATTTTCTTTTTAAACATATTACAACACTTTTAACACTTTTTGTAATATTTTTATTCTATTTTTTCATATTAAAAATGTATTTTACTTTTTTCCTATGAACAACAATCAACAAATATAATTTTCCAAAAATATACAAGATTAACAATATCATTTTTATAATAAATAAATAAATTAATTGATACTTATAAAAACCAATAAATAATTCAAAATATGTATAAAAATATGATAGTTATTATTATTCTGCTTTCTAAAGTAAATCATGATCTATGTTGTATACAAAGAGTGCAATTGTTCAATTTGAAATTGTTTCCTCTCTTAAAGAAGATGCATGCAGTTACCTCTCTTGTGCCATAGAAACCAAGTATTTTTGTACATTAAATCAGCAACTAAACTTAATCTGCTAGAATAGAAGAGATTTCACTCCCCTCCCACCTCTCTTTTTTGAACTGGACATATAGTTGGTTATGAGAACCAATGAATGTTCAGTCCACCCATAAGAATGGCAGAAGTTTGTAGACTAGTTGTCCACAATCCTTTTGTTTGGCTTGACAAACCTGCACTACAATTTGATCTCATGCAAGTGTAATTGTAACTTTCCAACATTAAAAAAGGGAGGTCAGAAGAACTATGGTAAAGCAGACCACATCATTGCAACCCTTCCAACCTACTATTTGTATACCAAGACACAGAAACAAGTTTATTGTGTACTTGTCAGCATGTGGTGTAATTGCTTCCCTGGCCCAACTTCAAGTGATTATTGTTGTGCAGTCAAAAGCAATTCTACATATCTTTGATGAATTTGCCAACTTTGATGAACTTCTTGATGTGAGCAAACTCATATGCCTTTTGGGTGCAAAACACTGGAAAGCAATTGATTAAAGTAGAGGATCCATTTCCGATATCTTAAGCATTTCAGCATATTTGCAATAAGTATAAAAATAAATAAAAAAAAATACCCCCATGTAGAGAAATAGAAATCAGAAAGATTCCAAGTGTTTTCACACAATTTTGTCCAAAAACCAAATGTATATAAATATTTTAGTTGAAGATTCTTTTTGATCCATTTGCTAATTCCATCTAATGATGGATTACAAAATCAACAATCTAATTTTTACAAAATTGAGAAGTGCAACACCTAATTATGCTATCAAGAGAAGTATGGCACTTATTTATGCTATATTATTTTATCCCAACCAATCAACAACTACCACCTATATTAATAGTTCATGCATACTCATTCCAAGTACAATGAGTTTTATTTATTATTCACAACTTAATATCATTTTAATCAAATACCAACCTACTTCTAATCACAACTTAACATCATTTTAACCAGCACTAGACCTATTTGCAACCAACAGATATCACACATGGTTGACAATAAGTTGCCACACTAACAAAAATACCCACCTTATAGGTTAGAAATGGAGGGTGGTCAACAATGGGTCAGTTACCTTACTTAGCATCAAATAAGAAGACTTAGTGAGAAGAAAAAGTAATAAGAAGAAGCATGTCAAATTATTATTTTAACTCTGTTTTATCTTCTTGAATATGTGTGTGTCTTTTACACATTTCTAAATTATTTACTTTCTTTCATTTATTTTGCATGTTTAGCTTTCAAAAGAAATCAATAAATATCATTATATATTATAATATCATACTAAAATTTACGTTTTTTTGTTGTCTATTCTATTTTATAATTGCCATGTTTGTCACATGTCCCTGTGATGAGTACTTTTTGCTCTTATGTTGCTCCTCATACATGCATAATATTGCAAAGATTGAAAGCTATTCATCCAAAATTTGACTTTGAATTTCTCTATTCTTACAATAAAAATAGAAGGAAAAAAAAAACTGTTTGATAAATAGTATAAAGTACTAACCATACTGTACTTACTCAAAAATATAACTATATAGTCTTTTGAATAAAGACTAATAATATATTTTTTTCTTTGGATTTCAAAAGAAAAATTAGTGAAACAATTGAAAATAGAGACCAAAAATAGATTGTTAAATTTTATGATATTTTATTTTTTAGAAATAGGAAATTGTTGTGAAGAGAAACTTTTTACTGATAAAAAATAATGCTTTAGTTTTTCTAAAGAAGATAACTAAATTTTTTATATAATAAATTCATTTTTTATTTTTGTTTTATGAATTAGTGTAGAATTTAAATTTTCGGTTTAGATCAGATATACAATATTAGAAGGTTAAAATGATAAATTAAGTTTTGATTTTAAATATAATATCATTTTAATCTTATGATATTTTAATAATTTAATTATCTTTTAAGTAGAAAAAAGAAGTATTAAGTTAAAAGTTCCATTCAAAAACAAAGTAACATTTTATAGTGTAAATAAAATATACAATTCAGTTTTTAATAAATTAAAAATTGATTCAAATTAAAAAGAATATATATTTTTTCTTTTTTGTATGTAGTAATTAAACTCTTGCAAGATTCTTAACAAAAAATACATTAATATATATATATATATATATATATATATATACACAAAATATAACTAAAATAAAAAATTTATATTCTTTTAAATGTATTATTTTTTAATGTAGAAAAACTAAAACTTTCTTTTTGCAAATAATAGCAATTTTGTCTTATTATTATTTAGTTGTGTTTACATTTTCATAACTCCAAAATTTTGCTTCAACTTCACATATATGTTTATTGATTTGAACATTATATAATTAATCATTCAAAAAGTTCATATTTTTTGGATCTTATTTTTAAAGATTTCATGCTATAAATAAGTTAAGTAATACTTTTTTAAGTAATGTACATATTTTTTAGAATTTTAAAATACACAAAATTTGACTATGAAAGGTACTCATCCAAAAAATCTCAATCTAAGGTTTCTATTCTAAGTGTCTAAAAATAATAATGACTGAGAAGAGTACAATGATATTTAGCTAAACTCTTGAATAGTAATATTATCCTATAGTTCAAATCTTTGTTTGGTTATACTCAAGTTGAAATGTCACTCTAAAATAATCTACTTAAAATCATAATGCAAACTTTTGATTTAAATTGTGAAATGTTTTTATCAAAATTTGTGGGTGTGGAAAAAATCTCTAAAAATATGTTTCATAATATCTTAAGAATTACCTAAAAATATTCTAAGATATCGTAAATTTACATAATTGATCTTTATTATAGAATTCATAAAAAGTTGTGTTACATATTTAAACTGAATATAAGTTTACAGAATAATTCATCTTATTTTTTTTGATTGAAAGTAAATTAGATAGCTATTCCATCTCTTGTGATTTTTTTTAATTAAATTTCTACACAAGATAGTGATGGTCATAAATTTTAACTAATTCTTTAGTTGTATTAAATTTAAATATTTTCAAGATTTAAATAAGACCATTTAAAGATTCTACTTTTTTTTTTTTTTTTTTTTTAAACACCATCCTATTTGCTATTCTTTCTTATATTTTTTATTTTTAATTAAGGTGATTTTTGTGTGATAGTATTAATAAAGTATATTCTTTTTAATATTACATTATAAATAAGCAATCTTTCTTATATGTAAGCATTATGTTGGATGCTTGTTCTAACTTTTTGTATAAAGACATTCTTTAAAATGAAATATGTAATATATGAAATTGTAACTATGTCTTTTAGTACAATAGGGATGTAAAAGCACTACTGCTAAAAGGAAGAAAATCAAAGTGAGAAATATTTGGAAGATACTTAAAAAAGATAGAAAATACAAGATCTTTTAATTTTAATTTTTATCTTGTGGTTCTTAATAAATATTATCTACAATGATTTTGATTGTCAAAATTCTTCAAATTTTTCTAAATTTAGGATAAATTTAACTTTGAGAGTAATACCGCAAAACAAGTTAATGTATACTTCACAGACTCAAATATTCAAGTCTGTCGTTGGCTTTAAACCCAAAGAACGCTTAAAATAGACATTACTTAACAAACATTATTCCGTGCATATTTGACGTTTCTAAGGTAAGTGAAGCATTTATCAAAGTAAAATGATGATGTCGAGAAAACTCCTCAATGCTATTAGTAAAGTTCCCTTTGGAGACCAGTTCTACAACTCTACAAATTCAGAAGCACGGCGCTTCAAACAAGCAGCCCACATACCACTCACACGCCTTCGGCCGAAATCCAGAGTATACTGTTTTAGTAAAACAATCCCAATAAGGGCAAAGCAATACACATCTATGGTCATGCTAGGCGGCGATCTGGATGCACCCACTTCGATTTGAGAGCTTATCCTGTAACTCAGCCTGCAGGTTTTAAAAAAATAAAGGGAGTGGAACCTATCGATTTTCCTACACGTGTTCCTGAATCTACAAAAACACTGATGTAATGCTGAATTTTTAGATACAATTCACTATATACATGGGTACAGTGTTGCAGGAGCGGCAATGGGCTGTTGAGGTTAGTCTTCGTTGTTGGTGACGTCGATGGGACCTTCCTCCTCTAGCTCCTCCTCACCTACGAGAACTTTGACGTAGGCAAGTTGGGTCAGAAGAGCGGAGAAGATCATGCCGTAGCTGGCTAGCTTTGAAGCTCGCATCCATGTGCCTGCTAAGAGTGCTGCAATGACACACAATCCGTGGTCAGCAATTCTTTGTATTGCATGTCTGGCAACTTTAGACAGCCTTGCAAGGAGACCTTGTTTTCTAATGCTGGAAATCTGGTCAGTGGAATAAGAGAAATGAGCATGCTGGAAATACTCCCACCTGAGCTGGAGCTCCAAATGAAGGAAACAATGACCAGCGACAAGCCTACGTAGAGCACCTGCCTGTAGCTGCTACTGAAGTCCCGGGTTGGCCTTGCAAGGGCTACATTCTGCTGAACAGGTAAAATCTGAGCTCCAAAAATCCAGAACTCGTACCAATAGTAGAAATATCAATCTCAAATTACATCTACATGTAATTCCCAGAATTTGTAGAGATTCTTCATTAAAAACAGGCATACCTTTACCTCCTTCACGGAAGACTTTGAAATAGCAGCCGACCGTAGACGGTGGGGTTTTGGTGAAGGGTAAAGATTCTTGAAGAAAAGCCCTTCATTCCTTGAATATGCCACACCCAGCTGATATTCCTCCAAATCAAGCTCTTCAGCCTGCACAGTCGACGTTTGGTTCACAAAAATATGGTAAAGACTCCAATATGCATAGTCTCATTGAACTTTAGAAAGTGGAAAACTTACTTACACATACACACACACACAAGTGTGAAGAATATACCTCAAGCTCAGCCCTGGCCACCCTGAGTTCCCGTTCAAGCGCTTGAGCATCTGCGTCAAGTTGCCTCAGCACCTGCAGTGCGAAATTGGGCTCATTAGAGTTGACGCAAGTGTATTTACAAAAACACTTGTATTGCAGCAAGACCAGAGCGGCAGTACAAAAGTCACACCTAGCCACGCACTGCAGCCACGCACATTCTATGTTACAGTTACGCATTGCCACTATGCCAAGCTAATCAGACAGAATTGTTGCGAACGGATGTTTGTTACTCACTCTGCTTCCGGAATCATCTAACCCTTTCATGGTTCTATAAGCGATGCGATCGTACTGATGGAAAGTGTCTTGCGCAATGTTGCGCATATGCTGCGATCTCTCATCAACGAAATCCGACACACGAGACTTGCCGATTTGAATCTGCAGCATCTCCACCAGCATTTGCTGAACCTGTGGATCTCCCCCCACGCTGTCGTCACTACCCCCTTTCGCACACATTGGTGTCACCTTCCGCACTACTTGTGATCCATTGAACAGCCTGTGCCTTGATGTAGACACGAGGAAAAATCCTAAGTTGGAGTCATTTCTAAGACCCGGTGAAAATCGACAAATCTTTAAGTGGACTCTACTCCTTGAAGCACCTTGGAGATGTCCAAAACTCAAGGGCCTAAAGGTAACCGTGGTATGGCTGGCCTTGCATGATCCGATCTCCTGGGAGATGCGATTTAGGGCTGGCTGCGACACCGGTGAGGAAGAGGCAAGCGCCGCCATCAAGTCTATTATTAAGTTCTAAATTCGATAACCTGGAAAGAGGCCATTAACACTTGGTTAATTATCTTCAAAGTTTCGATGCAAAAGCCCTACATTTGGTCTGCGTTAGGAGTTCTTCAACGGTTGCGACTACATGGGTAGAGAAAGCATCGTTCAACCACTTGCAAAAAAATCACTGAAAGATGCGTAAAACATGCCAGCATCTATTTATTGTGCAATTGCAAACTCTATCACATATTGGGCAGCTACGTCACTAAGTTGTACGCTCTAACATTTGCAACCACGCCTCTATATCTTTAGAATTCCAACAATTGTAAAAGATGATAGATTCACCAGAAATAGAAACCAAAATGGGAAACATGGTGTGCTCGATCCGAAACGACTAAGTTGCTGATGAGACGGGAAACTAAAAACTTGCCCAATTCCAGCTATGGACTTCCGAAAATCGGCTGACTTGCTTGGATCTGAGAAAACAGAAAGCTTTTTATTTTTTTATTTTAATTATAATAATACGCATAATTTAATTTTACAAAAGTAAACTAAAAACAACCAGCGCCCCAAGTTACATCAGGTACAGGCCCCGGAATCCACGCCTAAACAAGACCCGGGAAACATTAAATCCTCGTGTCTGCGACGGATCAAGCAACTAAGCGTCTGCAAGGAAGACAGTATTTCTGAAGCACTGCCATGGTGTACTGCACTTTAGAACGCATATACCGAAAGGGAGAAAACATGATTTCTATAAATAAAAGATTCTCTTGTCTTCCAGAATCTTAGGCGCCTTCGCAGAACATGTCCATCACACAAAACAGTTCCGGAATCTTCACACAAGACACAACCAGAGAATCCCTCTCAACACAAAGACTCTCGCAAGAAGCAAGACACGTCAAAGCAACCATTCTCCTCAGATTTCTTCACCCAAAATTCAACAACACAATCGCTCGAGATCACCCACCGCCAACTTGAAAGCCACAGAAGAAAAAAAAAAAAAAAAAAAAAAAAAAAAAACCAGAAAAAACCAACGTAGGGAACAGAAAAAGAAAATCAACAACAACAACAACCAACAAAATAACGTTAGATGAAGAAAAAAAATTGAGGCGATCAAACAAACCTCCAGATAGTTCGCACACGGAACCTCCACCCAAACGACCCACCCAACACCGAACTGCCGCACAGCTCACAATTCTCCAATCTGAAACTGATTTCGCCGAAGTTGGAACCCAACTAAAAAAACAACAACAACAACAACAACAAAATAACACTCTCCTAGACACGCGGCAAGATGAGTTCTACTGGGCAACAGAAAGCGGCAGCGTGTGTGAGATGGGGGGAGGAAAACCCACCTGGCGTCAAGCAGAAGAAGACGATCGGAATTCCGCGGGTGACGGCACTGAGCCAGGTGAGACGAAGTTCGTTACCACGAGGCCCTTCCTTGGCTCGTTCGCAACCCCTGGCAAGCGAGCCCATCCCCTGACGCGGCGGGCGTAGCGCACGCGACCGATCGCTCGCCCGCGGCGACACTCCAGATGGTGTGAGCTCGCTGTGGCCTCGCCTTCCACATCCATCCTCACCACCCTCTCATTCATCCAACATTACTGGATGATGTGGCATCTTCAGTGGATGAAACTTGAACGTCAATTATTTTGGATGAATTTTTAGTCGAGGGGCGGATGGAAGTGTGCGCAGAACACGCAAATGAGGTTGTCCTGGCTGATTCTAGATTCTAGTTCTGAATGAACAGATGGTATCATTCGTCAATTCGATGTGGTGTTGCAGTTGCCATTCGTCTTGGAGGTGGAAGGTAATTGTAGACAAGTATTTATGGTTTGGATGTGTGGATAATTTTTGAATTTGGGTTCAGGGTGCTGACTTGCATTGCAAGCCATGTTTTTGCTATTGCCACTACAACTTGCCATCCACCACATGCTATCCCAATTTTTGCTAATGCAACCACATGTTGCTCTAAAGTATATTGTGATGTGCAACATAAGTTTAGGGTAGCTTGTAGTTGGTATTAGCAAAAATTGTGAAGACATATGGTGGATGGCAAGTTGTGATGTGAGTAACAAAAAATATGATGGCATTAACAACACCATCTATATATATATATATTTATATTCATATAAGTACATTATATTTCATGTTTGTATAATTTTAAATAATATTTTATAACAATGCACAAAAGATGCTAATAAATAGAAAATTATCTATTTTAAATCAATTTGAAGAAAAAATCTAATCATATTATATTGGTCTTGTAGGTCTTGTACATTATTTATGAAAACTAACATTTTTTAAAAAAATCACAAGATGAATTTTAATAGATCATCTTGCTATTACTTATATTAAGATTTAGAAACTTTCAACTTTCAACTTTCAAAATGAAATCTTAATATAAATCTAAGTTAGTAATTACTTCAAGTTAAGTATATTTTTAAGTTTGATATTTGTTTTACACCTAAAAGTATTGTTTTAGAATACTTATGTTATTTTTTTTTTACTTAGTTAAATTTTTTATAGACTAGTTTTATAGTTTGGATTATTAAAAAAACTTAAGTTATTTAAAAGGCCTCTTGAGGTACTAAAAAAGAATTTGTAATCAAAAAGGTGATCAAAGAATTTTAAAAATATGATTTAAAACACATATATTATTTGTATGACTTGTGAATAATTTTAAAAGTAAAATTAAATGTATTCAAAGGAAAAAATAATATTAATTTGCATACAATTTAGAATTTTGAGGCAACAATATATTTTTGCTAATTTTGAAAGCTTTAAGATAATTTCTCTTAATCTTTTTTGATATATTTTTTCTTTAGACATGTCTAAGTAAAAGTGAAGGCTTGAGATTCATTAAAAAGTTTAAAGGTGATAATTTTTATTATTAGAAGATGAAATTGAAGCTTTTGTTGGTTTTTTTGGATTGTAGAAATATTATAAATGAAATTGAAGAGACTCTAAGCATAAATGCTCATACTATTAAATAATAAAATAAAATAAAAAATTATAAAAAGAAGGCTTTTAGATTGATTATAATATTCATTGATGAAATTAATTTTAATTTTATAATATATTGCAATGAATCAACAAAAGCATAGAAGACTTTTTGTAACACTTCTAAAAGAAAGAACTTTAATAATTAGTATGAAAGTACATTTATAATATAGCAATAAAGTTAGTTTTTTGAAATAAAGATACAAAAAAAGGTATGGTAACAAAGGCTAAGCAATGGACTTCTATTAGATTGTGTGAAAGAAATGTGCATGTAGTCTAAGACAATATTATAAGAAGTTTTGGAAGAGATGATCATATTAGTATTAATAATAAAAAAACAGCAAGGATAAGATTGTTACAAAACATTTTTAAAGACCTTAGTAAAGTATAAGATTATATTAATGTTGATTTTTTTTTAAGAAGACAAAAAAAAAGTAGAGTAAGAAATATCTAGTGGTGAAGGTTAGCAAGAAAGAAGTGCTCACCATAAAGTACTAGATTCCAATTCCTTGTCAAGAGCTTGAATTAATAAAAAGTGATTGCTTCAAAGGTTTAAAAAGCAAAGTTTTATATAGAGAAATTTTGATGTTAGATTGTGGCAATTGACATTGTACACAATGGGATGTTTGTTGTAATTATCAAGACATTGTTTTATCTGAAATAGGTTTTGGAATTAAAAAAATATATATTATCTCCATAGAAATATTATATTCAATGGTTGTAAGAGATTAATAGAGGCACAAATCTTAAAGGTTATTAAAGGAGCTTTAGTAGTGATAACAAAAACATAATATAAAACTTGTATAAACTTTTAAAGATATTCTTACAAATAGAAAAACTATAGTATCTTTTTAAGGAAACAACACTTAAAGTGTCATTTAGTTGTTAACATGCTTATTTGGATCATATGATTAAAAGAAGAATTTTGGAATTGTACAAGCATCAATTCTTGAGGGTATTAAATCTTATAAATTCGACTTTGCAAGAAATGTATATTTGGAAAGCATTGTAGAATAAGATTCAAAAATACTAATTATTGAATTAAAGATATATTAGATTATATACATTTAGATGTATGAAAACCTCCATTAGTTGCTTCCTAAGCTAGAACATTTTAATTTTTTTTATTTGTAGATGTTTATCTAAAAAATATTTAGATTAATATATAAAAGAAAATTCTAAGATTTTTTTCATCTTTAAACTATGAACAATCATGATGGAGAAGCAAAGTAATAAGAAGCTAAAGTGTCTTAGGCTAGATAATGAAAAAGAGTATAAGTCAAATGAGTTTGCTAGTATTTGCAAGGCAAAAAGAATTATTCATCACCTCACTAATTCTAATATTTTTTAGCATAATAGAGTGGCAAAGTGTATGAATGTAACCTTGCTAGAAAAAACTCAAATTATGTTAAATAATGTAAGATTAGAGAAGAAATTTTACATAAAAATTATAAATATATTAAGTATATTGATAATTTATTTATTTATTTATCGCTATTGATTATAAGACACCAAAAGAAATTTAGAAAGATAGAAAGTTAGCTAAATAGAAAATTTGACATGAAGAACAAAGGACCCATAAAAAAGATATTAGACATTGATATCTGGGTAGATAAAAAGATGTACACATTGTAGATATTACAAGAAAAGTACATTGAAAAGATACTAATATATTTTGGCATAGAAAATGGAAAGACAGTGAGTATGCTTTTAGCTTCTTAATTCAAATTGTCTTTAGCATAGCATTAAGAGTGAGTAAGAAAATATGTCTTTATCTAAAATTCCATAAGCAAGTGTTGTAGGTAGCCTTGTACATGCAATGGTTTGGAATAGATTACATATTTTATTCTAAATTATTATAATAAGTAAATATATGGCAAATTAAAAAAATTAAAAAGATATAAATTAAATTTTTTTATACTTAAAAGATATTATAAATGGTAATATTTTATTTGATTTAAAGGAAGATAGAAGAGAAAAAATAGAGACTTTGTAGATGCTAATTTTATTGGAGATTTGGACAAAAGAAGGTCTTTTATATATTTGACATGGATGGACAAAATATAAGGCAAAGTAGAGATTGTTGATATATTTCTTGTATTATATAACTATGACTTCTTTTGATGTTGTGTTAAAATATAATCATTTAATAAAAAAGAAAATAATATATTTTTTAAAAAGGACTCAATTTAAAATATAATAGAAAATTATCTTAAAAATATAGATAATAATTAAAAAAATAGTAAAATTAATTAGCCTAATTTTTATTTTAAAAATAATTCTATTTTTTTATAAGATTATAAAAAAATAATAATAATGTAGATTAAAAAAATATTATATTTATTTTAAGGTATAAATAAAGAATATTAATTAAGTAAAATTATTAAAATAAATCTTATTTTGATACATGTAGAAGGTTGATTATAAACCTAGATCAAAACCAAAGCCTAAGTTACAAAACTATGTGCATTTGACATTCAAGATTTTTTTTGTTGATCAAAGTTTTATTTTTGAAAAAAAAACTAATTGTATTTCTACAAGAAAAGATTGTGAGTGATTTGAATTCATACTAATTTTGCAAGAGCTTTGCAAAGTTGTACTTGTTTAAAGTGATTCTATTTTGAGTTAAATAAAAAGATGAATATATTTTGATAAATTAGAAGATATTTGTAATAGATCCATAGGTGAAATCTTATAGATTTATAAAGCTAGATGTATTAAATTTAAAATATGAACTTTGACTTAATTAAAAAATCAAATCAACATTAATTGAAGATCAAGTGAGATAGTATATTAAAAATTAGATTTAAAAGGTGACTAAGGATCTCTTAGATTTCAAGCAATTTGTGTGATGGATTAAAAATTTTCTTTTATATTCTAATAATTTTTTAATTTTTTTTATATTTGATAATTTTTTTTTAAAAAATAAATGGTTTAAGAAGGTGGTATTCAAGCAAGAAGAATTGAATTGTAATTAAAGAAGAAGAATGGTTGACATTACAACATATTATAATTCATATCATCCAATTTATAAGTCGGATTTTTTAAAAAAATAATTCTAGTTATTTTTAATTAATAAATTAAAGTATAATTTTTTGAATTAAAAAAATTAGTATAAAACTTATTGAAATTTATAACTAATGTGAAGTTTATTTAGAATTTGATTAAATTTTTTTTAGAATCATTTTAGATTTCTTTTTATTTATTTAAGATTTAAAAAAGATTATCTTTTAAGTTATTTTAAAGAAATTTTCAAAATTTCAAAGATATTTTTAAAAAAATTATGTTAGTTTTTTTGGATTCTAAATCCAACTTCAAAATAAGATCAAATCCATTTATAATT